TAAAGTTTACTTCTATATAACCCCACCCGTTTAAATTACACTTTTTAAGGGTGCCAGGCACGGTACCAGACACAGCATGGTTATTTTTTTGTAGTGTAAACTGGTCAATTATTAGCATACTGTACTGAGTACCGTGCCAATTTGGTCCACTGAAGTGAGGTGATCTTGGCACGGCACAGTGAAATTTTCGTAGTGTAAATGCTATCTGCTCTGAGCAAGGTTTCAGTACTGATTACTGTGCATGCGCCATATGAACCTTGACAGGATATGCCATGCAGTGATCTATTAGGGGCAATTTATCCAAGACAGCAGCAGTTTCTCCTACTTTTTTTTGTTATCAAATTTCAACTGTTTAGGGTTCTTTCAAATACATGCCAAAGTGTACACAGGACGTGTTCTTTTTGTCCCATCCGAATGACTAGACACTGTTCTATGTCCAGGAAACAAATTGTCAGGCAAACATCGGACCCCAAGTTCACAAAGCATTCTCAGACTTAAGTTGAGAATTTACTCAACTTTCAATCACAGCTTATGAGAAATATCTTGGTTCCAGAAACACAAAACTTTGCACATAGTTTCTTATTGATGTAGTTGATACATTGAAACAATAAACGTTTTGTAAAGGGCTATATATTAGTTAATATAATGCGAACAATTTTGAGTAAATTCTTAACTTAAGTTTTTTTTGTTATCAAATTTCAACTGTTTAGGGTTCTTTCAAATACATGCCAAAGTGTACACAGGACGTGTTCTTTTTGTCCCATCCGAATGACTAGACACTGTTCTATGTCCAGGAAACAAATTGTCAGGCAAACATCGGACCCCAAGTTCACAAAGCATTCTCAGACTTAAGTTGAGAATTTACTCAACTTTCAATCACAGCTTATGAGAAATATCTTGGTTCCAGAAACACAAAACTTTGCACATAGTTTCTTATTGATGTAGTTGATACATTGAAACAATAAACGTTTTGTAAAGGGCTATATATTAGTTAATATAATGCGAACAATTTTGAGTAAATTCTTAACTTAAGTCTGAGAATGTTTTGTGAACTCGGGGCCAGACATATGAAGAATAATTTTTATTATTGTTGTTCCTGTGTATTTAATTAAATATCACAGAAAGCTTATCTTTCTATTCAGCTGACTGATGATCTAATAGAATACAGCTGAAGGTGGGTAACTGGTATAGGATTAGAACAAGTCCATGTCGGATGATCTAATAGAATACAGCTGAAGATGGGCAACTGGTATAGGATTAGAACAAGTCCATGTTGGATGATTAGCAATTAATAGTAAGTTATGAAGATGAGAGTGCCGCTATCATGGCCACATTCCCCATCTTTATATATGTCTCATATTTAAATCATCAGTGAATAGAGTGGTCTATGGAATTGTCTCACCACTATGAGATTAGAGCTAGTCCATGTTGGATGATTAGCAATTAATAATAAGTAAAGAGTATGAAGACTAGAGTACCACCACCATGACCAAATTCTCCATCTTTTATTTTAGCCATCAATGTGTATAGAATATTGGTATTGGTATAGAGCTAGTCCATATTGGATGATCAGTTATTTATAGTAAACAAAGAATATAAAAACTACAGTGCCACCACCATGACAAAATTCCCCTTGTTTTTAAAGTCTGATTGGTGTATAGATTATTCTATGGAATTGACTTGCTGTAATATACTGTCTGCATGAAGAGTAGAAGATATAGTTGAAAATAAAACAGAAACTGGCTTACTAAATTGCCACCATCATGACCAAATTCCCCACCTTATATGAAATTGTTTCACCGGTATATGATTTAACAAACCGTCTACGCATATAGAGAATGGTATATAGTTGAAACTAAACAGAATCTGGCTCACTATAGAGTGCCACCACCCTGACAAAATTCTCCATATAGTTTATAGAGTATTCTATGGAATTGTGCCAGTGGTATATGATTTAACACAATGTCTGCATCTAGTATAGTAGAAACGTATAGAATGTGGCTGACTAGGATAGGATAATTGTGATTGACAGATGTCAAATAGCATGTTGTTAGTAAGATGAGTAATGGGTAGAGATGTAGAGGGGGATGGTGTGTATATTAAGATACGATATTCTAGCTAATGAGGTGTCGACAGTTTACCTGGGGTCAGTTTATTACTTCCATCATCCCTGCCATCAATTAGAAATAACAACACCATCAGCACCACATCATACAACTTGATTCATAACAGACAAGCATCATTGATAAAATTTCATGAAATATGCTAACAGTAACCTGCAGCCGGTTTCATAAAAAATTGTTCACCTTATTTTAAAGAGGCATTAAGATTAACCTGCAGCCGGTTTCATAAAAAATTCTCAGACTCAAAATTATTCACCTTATTTTAAAGAGGCATTAAGATTAACCTGCAGCCGGTTTCACAAAAAATTCCCAAACTCAAATTATTCCCCTTATGTTAAAGGGCCATTGTGGAAGATTAAATAAAGAGCTGGCAATTAATAATATTTAAAAACTAGATAGGGTAAAGGGAATATGCTGAAAATTTCAGTCAAATTTCTTCTCTCTAAACCAAGATATTAGTGATTGAATGTTAGGCCTAGCCTCGATCTTCATTACTTAATTCGGTACGATAAAAAACAGTCTTGATTATCCATTTTTGGATTAAATCATAAATGAGCGTTGAGCAGCAGATCGGATTCAAATCCAGTCAAAATCTGACACGTAAGATGACATCAAGAGTTGATTAAGGTCTTTTCATGTTAATAAATGTCTAATTGATTGCTTATATAACATTTCAGACTTAAAGAAAGACATGCAATAGGCAGATTTACCTCTTGCATAATGTATGTTTAACTAAAATATAGCCCTTTATAGATGTTATAATGTATCAAATACATCAATAAGAAACTATGTTCGAACTTTCGTGTTTCTAGATCAAAGATATTTCTCATAAACAGTGTATGAAAGTTGGTTAAATTCTTAATTTAAGACTGAGAATGGTTTGTGTAACCAGGGCCAGGTTTTCAGTTTTAGGAATACGAGGCATATTAAAGTACTAAAATTTGTACATTATTTACATTTTTCGGAAAATATTAAATTTTCCATGGCTTATTTACATCAAAATGTTCCCAAATTAATTATTTAACATATATGGTCATTTTTATTTCTATCGTTTTGTATGAAATACGAGGTAGAAGAATCATTTAGGACAGTGGCATGTTTGCCTACTCTTCATCGATTTCCAAGTGTAAATGTATAGATATAAAGATGTTGTTAGATTGTCTGCGATATCACCTCTGTGGAAGCGGACGTAAAATACAACTAACTCACACATAGATCTTACTGTAGTGTAAATATAACGGCAATACTATATACCGGAAAACACCAGAAAACTACCGGAAAACACCATGTTATACTGAATACCTGAAAATACCAGAAAACACACTAAATACCGGAAAACACCCTAAATAGGTAACAAAGAGCCTGGTCCTCTGGAAAACACCGGAAAAACCTAACCCTAACATTACCCCTAACCCACCGCAGGTCCTCTGGAACACGCCGGAAAAACCTAACCCTAACCCTAACCCTAACTCCCCGCAAACAGAGGACCAGGCTCTTTGTTACCTATATAGGGTGTGTTCCGGTATTTAGAGGACCAGGCTCTTTGTTACCTATTAAGGGTGTTTTCCGGTATTTAATGTGTTTTCCGGTATTTAATGTGTTTTTCCGGTGTTTTCCGGTATTCAGTATAACATGGTGTTTTCTGGTGTTTTCCGTTGTTTTTCGGTGTTTTCCGGTATTTAGTGTTTTTCCGGTGTTTTCCGGTATTCAGTATAACATGGTGTTTTCCGTTGTTTTTCGGTGTTTTCCGGTATTTAGTGTTTTTCCGGTGTTTTCCAGTATTCAGTATAACATGGTGTTTTCCGTTGTTTTTCGGTGTTTTCCGGTATTTAGTGTTTTTCTGGTGTTTTCCGGTATTCAGTATAACATGGTGTTTTCCGTTGTTTTTCGGTGTTTTCCGGTATATAGTATAGCCCAAATATAAAGATGTTGTTACTGTAGTGTAAATATAAAGAGAGACAGAGACAGAGAGAGAAATGGGGTTTAACGTCCACTCGACACAAACTAGGTCATTTCGGGACTAACATTTGGTTTAATTTTATTTCAATAATTCGCTTTCGCGTAGGGGTCTTTAGCAGTGGGAGGAAACCGGAGGACCCGGAGAAAACCCACGAGGTTGAACAGGCGATCCTACTCCTTGTCACATACAACCGGGGATTCGAAACCACGCCAGTTGACTCAATGACAGGCTTTATGATACAGCACGCACGTGCTAACCATTCGGCCATCCTACCACCACCCCCCTGTAAATATAAAGATGTGGTTAGATCTTACTGTGGTATAAATATAAAGATGTTGTTAGATCTTACTGTAGTATAAATGTAAACGACATAAAAACGCAAAAGAAACAAAACCATGGTGCGATTTTAATTAGACTGAGAGAGGAAGAGTCCCATTGATTGTAACGATTTGTGATTAGCCTTTCCAGGGCAGGAGCTTAATCCCATTTCTTATGAAATCTTGTTAGAAAATATTGTAAAATCTTAACACTTCAAGAAGCTGTGAGGCACATTTTGCTGTAGTATAATATATGGGCGTACAACATGATTGAGTGGACCATTGGAAAAAAAACTTTTTGTATGCAAAAAAAACCCCAAAATCTCAAGGTATTGAAATGAGATCATGGATGACATATATTGTATTTCATTTTAAAAAATTGTTTTCACAGACAAAATATTTATCTTTAAAGTCATTGAGATATTTATCTCTACTACAGAGTCCAGGTGTTATAAATGTTAAAATAATTCATGATGGGAGAAAAAAAAAAAAAGAAATCCCCAAAATCAACTAAACCATGTAACAGAAATGCATAGATGTTGCAACATGTCATGAAATTTTGTGAATTGTGTTGTATTTTTTAAATTTTTTATTTTACAGATGAGGGTTGAAGAGATGGTGAAGTTCAATTAGGTACATTATTTCGACAGAGCTATTTATGATAAGTTAAACGTTGAAAAAATGAAACAGACATGATGTTCATCATGTAGATAATATGAGATATACTCAGTATATACTCCAGGTAAGATATCACCTAAAATAAACTGTTCTTTATATGTTATTATTATCTATTCTTCAGTTTCCATCATTTCAATTCTTACACTAAATACTTAGTTATTTATACACGCTACTATCAGTATTAATGTCAAATGAAGAAAGAGAAATGAATTGGCATAGGATTTAGCTTTCCTACCAGTCTACAAAGGGCTGTTTGTAGACAGAGAGAAGGGGGGGGGGAGGGAGAGAGAGAGAGGAGGTGAAGGGAAGGGGAGGGGGGGTTATATTTCAGTTAATCAATTAAGTGTTATGTCTGCTGTTATACTATGATTTCAAATCTGCCCAATGGTTATAAGTCAGGGGTCTAACACTGAGCACCAATGGTGTAAATATAGTAGGGGATTGTTGGTCTTTGAGCTCTGTGGAATTTGCTTTTAATATCTTCCAAGAGACAATCTAAAGCCTTTATTTTATGTTGTTTTATTTTTGATAAAACCCTGCTAGTCCTTGATCCTATATGATACCTGAAATAAAACCCGTTTAGTCCCAAATCATCATGAGTGAAAGTCTAAAGGCCATATCAAGATATATAGAACTTTGTTTTATTAAGTAAGAATGTTCATCTGTTGGAATGGTGGACATCTGCAGACGTAACATATCGTAAGATGTGTAGAAGTGAACTTTATACATTTGTCGATAATTATTCAGCACCGCCCATTTTCTCCAGACATTTGGTTCATGTCGCTATCATATACCAAGGCTAAAAGCCGGTTATGTAAACTTTCTAGGAGAAAAATCAGATTCGGTTACCTAGGGAACAACTTTGTGACAGATTTGATAAAAGCCTGCCTCATGTAGACCACACAAAAACAACATAAAAAAAAGCTTGAAGAGTTCATTAAAAGTTTTCTTGTCTATTAATTTTAAATCGTGTCTGTTTATTCACGTTTTTTCATCCAGTGTTTTTTTTTATTATTTCTGGTAAACTTAAGACATTCAATTTCTTGGTTTCAGGTAATTGATCACATGTTCCATTTTGTCATGAATTTTGATGTTCTTGTAATAAAACAGACTTTAAATTTTTACAAGAGAGAGAGAGAAAGATAAGAGATAGAAGGGTAGATAGGGGGGAGAGAGAGAGAGAGAGAGAGAGAGAGAGATAAGAGATAGAAGGGTAGATAGGGGGAGAGAGAGAGAGAGACAGACAGACACAGATAGAAAGATAAGAGATAGAAGGTAGATAGGGGAGAGAGAGAGAGACAGACACAGATAGAAGGGGTAGATAGGGGAGGGAGAGAGAGAGACAGACACAGAGAGAGAAAGATAAGAGATATAAGGGTAGATAGGGGAGGGAGAGAGAGAGAGACAGACACAGATAGAAGGGGTAGATAGGGGAGGGAGAGAGAGAGACAGACACAGAGAGAGAAAGATAAGAGATAGAAGGGTAGATAGGGGAGGGAGAGAGAGAGAGACAGACACAGATAGAAGGGGTAGATAGGGGAGGGAGAGAGAGAGACAAACACAGAGAGAGAAAGATAAGAGATAGAAGGGTAGATAGGGGAGGGAGAGAGAGAGAGACAGACACAGATAGAAGGGGTAGATAGGGGAGGGAGAGAGAGAGACAGACACAGAGAGAGAAAGATAAGAGATAGAAGGGTAGATAGGGGAGGGAGAGAGAGAGACAGACATAGAGAGAGAAAGATAAGAGATAGAAGGGTAGATAGGGGAGGGAGAGAGAGAGACAGACATAGAGAGAGAAAGATAAGAGATAGAAGGGTAGATAGGGGAGGGAGAGAGAGAGAGACAGACATAGAGAGAGAAAGATAAGAGATAGAAGGGGTAGATAGGGGAGGGAGAGAGAGAGAAAGATAAGAGATAGAAGGGTAGGTAGGGGAGGGAGAGAGAGAGACAGACACAGATAGAAGGGTAGATAGGGGAGAGAGAGAGACAGACAGACACAGATAGAGAAAGATAAGAGATAGAAGGGTAGATGGGGGAGGGAGAGAGAGAGAGACAGACACAGATAGAAGGGGTAGATAGGGGAGGGAGAGAGAGAGACAGACACAGAGAGAGAAAGATAAGAGATAGAAGGGTAGATAGGGGAGGGAGAGAGAGAGAGATAAGAGATAGAAGGGTAGATAGGGGAGGGAGAGAGAGAGACAGACACAGAGAGAGAAAGATAAGAGATAGAAGGGGTAGATAGGGGAGGGAGAGAGAGAGAGAGACAGACACAGAGAGAGAAAGATAAGAGATAGAAGGGTAGATAGGAGAGAGATAGAGAGAGAGACAGACACAGAGAGAGAGAAAGATAAGAGATAGAAGGGTAGATAGGAGAGAGATAGAGAGAGAGACAGACACAGAGAGAGAGAAAGATAAGAGATAGAAGGGTAGATAGGGGAGGGAGAGAGAGATGACAGACACAGAGAGAAAGATAAGAGATAGAAGGGTAGATAGGGGAGGGAGAGAGAGACAGAAAGATAAGAGATAGAAGGGTAGATAGGGGAGGGAGAGAGAGAGAGAGAGACAGACACAGAGAGAGAAAGATAAGAGATAGAAGGGTAGATAGGGGAGGGAGAGAGAGAGAGAGAGAGACACAGAGAGAGAAAGATAAGAGATAGAAGGGGTAGATGAGAGAGAGAGAGAGAGAGAGAGAGAATGTCCAGCCAGGGAGGATGAACCAAAGGACAAACAAGCATACCTTATGATCTAAATGTTAGTTTCAAAATTATCAGTGTAGATTATTGATAGGTATATTATATGGTTGTATGAAACCACAATAGGATGGAATTATTTCAAATAATCTAGATTTGGGAAGAAATATCTGATCAATCTCGAAACAAAAACAATCAACCAACAGAAAGCAGGTATTGGATCAATCTCCCACCTATAACAATCGACCAATAGCAAGCAGGTATTGGATCAATCTCCCACCAATAACAATCAACCAATAGCAAGCAGGTATTGGATCAATCTCCCACCAATAACAATCGACCAACAGCAAGCAGGTATTGGATCAATCTCCCACCAAAAACAATCGACCAACAGCAAGCAGGTATTGGATCAATCTCCCACCAATAACAATCGACCAACAGCAAGCAGGTATTGGATCAATCTCCCACCAATAACAATCGTCTAACAACAAATAGACATCTGATTATTCTCCCCTAAAACAGTAATAATTGGTCCATAAATAAATATCGGATCAATCTCCCCTAAAGCAGTAACAATTGACCAATAACAAACAAATATCAGATAAATCTTCCAATGTTAACAATAACAATTGACCAATAGCAAACAAATATCAGATGAATCTCCCACTGTTGATAATAACAACCTATAAATATCAGAACAATCTCCCATTATTAACAATCATCCCCTTGATAAATAGATATTGGGTCAATCTCCAACTAATAACAATTGTCCAATAAGAAATAGATATCAGATCAATCCCCAACCAATAACAATCAACAAATAACAAATGACATACTCAACAATAACAAATGACATACTCAACAATAACAAATGATATAATCAGTCGATGTAAATATTTATTTACCAGATGTATAAAAAATAACACAGATATTCCATGGCCTGGTTTCAATTTTTACAAGAGACAGGGGAAAAAATGGAGTGAACAAAAAACTCTGGCGGAATGGCATGGCTCATACCAGTGGTATTTAATCGCACCAGAAGAATTTAAGACATATAGAAATAGATCCTGCCAAAATTAACCAAAATGTCAACCTTGATATTTTCGACAGCATGTTTTTACAGAGCTAACTTGTATAATGGAGATAATAAAGGCTGGCTAATAGAGATTATGACTTAGATATTATTTAAACCAGAAGAGTAGAGTCATAAGGTGTTAAAGTCACTGATGGTCATTTGAGAGAGAGGGAGGGAGAGAGAGAGAGAGAGAGAGAGAGAGAGAGAGATACGGGGAGAGAGAGGGGGGGAGGTGAGTGAGGAGAGACAATAACCGGGTTTACATTAAAAGTTTACATTACAAATTTTAAGCAGTTAATTTTATTGGTCAAACATAAGCATTACTATTTTGGCCCACTGAAGTGTGGTGGTCTCAGCGAAAGAGAGAGAGAAATGGGGTTTAACTCCACTCGACACAAACTAGGTCATTTCGGGACTAACATATGGTTTAATTTTATTTACATAATTTGCTTGCGCGTAGGGGTCTTTAGCAGTGGGAGGAAACCGGAGGACCCGGAGAAAACCCACGAGATTGAACAGGCGACCCTACTCCTTGCCACGTACAACCGGGGATTCGAAACCACGCTAGTCGACTCAATGACAGACTTTATGATACAGCGCGCGCACGCTAACCATTCAGCCATCCAACCCCCCGGTGGTCTCAGCATGGTTAAAGGTTAAGTTTTTGTAGTGGGAGGAAACCTAACCAAGTGCACACTATTGGTTGACCATTTGGCCTCTCAACCCCACCTCCCCATTTGTGAGTTATTAGAAAATGAAATGGAGTTTAACGACCTACTGTTCTGCTCCGAACTGGGCTAACGAAGACGGGCATATGCCATACAGTGTGCTATGAGGGAAATTTTGCCTGGATAGCGGCGCTAAGGCCTACTCTTATATCGACTTCCAACTGCCAAGGGATCTTTTACGTGCATGCCAATATGTACACAGGACCTCGTTTTTTCGTACTCTCTGATCGACTAGACAGCTGTCCTTGTCAGGCCCACCATCCTGCATCACTGACAAGGGTTGTGAGATATTAAATCCATTACAAACTACAATATCTAACAAGTTGAAGTACCAGTAGGGGTATCAGTCAAAAATGTTTCAGGTCTATTTACAAAGATATGTTAGTTTGAAACTGGAAAATTCTAGAGGGACAAAGGGAAATGGGGCTTAACATCCATCATGAGACACAAACTAGGTCATTTCCGGACTAACATATGGTTTAGTTTCATTTCCTTAATTCGCTTGCGAGTAGGGATCATTAGCAGTAGGAGGAAAACAGAGGACCCGGAGAAAACCCTCGAAGTTAGACAGGCAACTCTACTCCTTGTCACGTACTAGTGGGGAATCAAAACCACGCCATTTGACTCAAATACAGATCTAATGATGCAACATGCACGTGTTAATCATTTGGCCACCCAACCCCCCAGAAATTTCTAGAACACCTGATAGCACTTAGTATTTAAATGAAGAATACACATGGCTTAACAAATATTTGTAGTGCTTTATTTTTTTTTGTCTGCCAAATATAACATGTCTTCTTGAAAATTTTTTAATACAGATTTTGTTTGTGGACTGCCACAAGATTATAGTAATGATATGAAGTTACTGATGTCCTTAACCTTAACTATAGCTTAACTATAGCGCTGATGTTTGCTGAGGGAGATACAGGATACTCACAGACTGTAAAACCTGTCAAAACTTGACTGATTCCATTCTGCCTGAAACAATTTTGGTGTAACTTTGTCTCACTTTGTAACCTTCCTTCATCTTGTACAACGTTAGCGATATAAAAAAATATCTGAACATGTCAGTGAAGAATTTACAATAGATATAAGGACTGTTTTACAGAAACGTAGAATTATTTTAACCCAGTGCTTCTGATCTTTCAATCAAAAATCTTTCTCTGTTATGGTCTTGTCAGTGTCATAAAGGAAAGATCTGGCATCACAGTTTCCTAGATGATAGACAAAATTCTTGTTTTGTCAGTACGATAGATTTGGATTGGAATGTTATAATACTTAGATGTCAACTCTGGTTATATCATTCTGAGACTGACATGTCAAAACTGATTTATATCATTCTGAGACTAACATGTCAATATTGGTTATATTATTCCGAGACTAACATGTCAACTCTGGTTATATCATTCTGAGACTAACATGTTAACATTGATTATATCATTCTGAGACTAACATGTCAACATTGATTATATTATTCTGAGACTAACATGTCAACACTGGTTATATCATTCTGAGACTAACATGTCAACATTGGTTATATCATTCTGAGACTAACATGTCAACACTGATTATATCATTCTGAGACTAACATGTCAACACTGATTATATCATTATGAGACTAACATGTCAACAACACTTGTTATATCATTCTGAGACTAACATGTCAACATTGGTTATATCATTCTGATACTAACATGTCAACTTAGGTTATATCATTCTGAGACTAACATGTCAACATTGTTTATATCATTCTGAGACTAACATGTCAACATTGGTTATATTGTTCTGAGACTAACATGTCAACACTGGTGATATCATTCTGAGACTAACATGTCAACATTGGTTATATCATTCTGAGACTCACATGTCAACATTGGTTATATTATTCTGAGACTCACATGTCAACATTGGTTATATCATTCTGAGACTAACATGTTCATATTGGTTATATCATTCTGAGACTAACATGTCAACATTGGTTATATCATTCTGATACTAACATGTCAACATAGGTTATATCATTCTGAGACTAACATGTCAACACTGGTGATATCATTCTGAGACTAACATGTCAACATGTCAATATCCAGATCCTGTGTATAATACTGGCAACTTATTAAAGATCTTTGACAGTTGGAAATTGAAATATGTAGCTTGTCTTCATTAGCCTTTCAGTACAGAAAAGTACGAAGTGATAAATACCATGGCAATTCACTTCATTTTTATCATCAAATAAATGAAATCCTACTTAAGTTTTTGGTAAATTTACAAGAAGTCCTTCCACTACTCCCACTATTTTTAACAGTATTTATGACATGTTTATTTTTATTCCATGAGCCATTAACTTGGCCCAATAATTATAAAATCATCTAAAGTGACAGTGTGTCCTTTCTATTTTTCGCTAAAATATAGAATTATGATGCCGTCATCAACGCTAATATGAACTCAGATTGATTATTTAACATTCAATTAAGAAAACAAAACCAAAATACCAACGCCAGATAACCACCTAGCTGGGATTCAGTAGGATTTAAAATAGGCTCATCAATAAATATTCGTGGATAACAAATTGGTGGTGAGCGTATTACAAAGCAGGCTGCATAGATAGATGTAATTTCAATTCAACATATCTTTGTAAATACTGGGGGGGGTGGGGGTTGGATGGCTGAATGGTTAGCGTGCGCACACTGTATCATAAAGTCTGTCATTGAGTCGACTGCCGTGGTTTTGAATCCCTGGTTGTACTTGGCAAGGAGTCGTGGGTTTTCTCCAGGTCCTCCGGTTTCCTCCCACTGCTAAAGACCCCTATGCGCAAGCGAATTATGTAAATAAAATTAAACCATATGTTAGTCCCGAAATGACCTAGTTTGTGTCGAGTGGACGTTAAACCCCATTTCTCTCTCTCTCTGTTTTTGTAAATACTGAACAGAATTGAACCATTTTTGGACCAATATTCATAATAGAGATTCGTCTTTCATTGTCTTAGTTTGCAGGAGATTCCCATTGCGTGAAAATGATGCAATGAGACTTTAAAGTTTTAATCCTTTAGAATTTGGAATACTCGAGTCACGTTAACAGGCTGTTGCGCCCCAAGAACTTGTAAATGATCCTACATTCAGAATCTCGGACAATTTGAGGTGGTCTAAGGAATGGTAGTGTGAGGGCAGATTTGTTTTAAATATAGAATAGATGTGCCCCTTTAAGGCTTTGATAAAAGCTAACATTAAATAGTATGTAACATGACACAGCAGCACAAAAAACTACAGATATTTTACTGGTTTGACGAAAGCCAGATCACAAATGTCTGACATTTCATTTAAAACCTAATTTATGAGAGAAAAATGTTAAAAAGAATTCAAGCCATTTTAATCCTTCATGTAGATGAACTTAAAATATCTCCCCTGTAATAATCCTAAGATTTTAAATATTTATGATTTTAGAAAGCAATAAATTCCACTAAATCACATCTTTTACTGCAGATAAAATGAATAAAGTCGTACTACTGGGTATTATGATTCACACCGGAAGGTTTTTTTTAAAATTCCAAACCCCAACCCTCATGTCTGATATCTCTGTCATAAGGTGCTACACGTGGGATCCATGGTAGTAGCTCAGTGACTAAGGTGCTTGCTCACTAACCTGGAGGGGGTGTTGGGTGGGTGTTGCATCATAAGGTCTGCCATTGAGTCAACTGATACTTTTTTAATAGGAAATGAAATAAAATGGGTGACGCTAACAAGTTATGATTATATCAGATATATCGTCTGCAGTTGATGCCGAATTTTCAATTCCTCATATCTTTGTAAATTCTGAATTGGATGGTTGAATGGTTAGCATGTGCGCGCTGTATCATAAAGTCTGTCATTGAGTCAATGGTTGTACGTGAGAAGGAGTAGGGTCGCCTGTCCAACCTCGTGGGTTTTCTCTGGGTCCTCCGGTTTCCTCCCACTGCTAAAGACCCCTACGCGCAAGCGAATTATGGAAATAAAATTGAACCATATGTTAGTCCCGAAATGACCTAGTTTGTGTCGAGTGGACGTTAAACCCCATTTCTCTCTCACTCTCTCTGAATTGAACTGTTTTAGGACTGATTCGTTTTTGAGATGCAACGTTCACAATCTTGTAGTTTGTAAGCGATGTCAAATACAAACTTTTAACCAAACTGGTTCGATTCACTTTTGTGGGGTTGGGTGGCCTAATGGTTAACGTATGCACGTTTGAACATAAAGTCTGTCATTGAGTCAACTAGAGTGGTTTCGATTCCCCGGGTTGTACGTGGCAAGGAATAGGGTCACGTCTCGTGGTTTTTCTCGAGGGCCTCCATTTTCCACCCGCTGCTAAAGACCCCTATGCGCGCGCGAATTAATGAAATAAAACTGAACCATATGTTAGTCCCAAAATGACCTAATTCGTGTATTGTATGGGTGTTAAACCAAGTGTTAAAGAGTTAACAAAATATAGAAAGGATAAAATTATTGAAGCTAAAATAAAAATTTTTTTTTAAAAAGATGAATGATGAATCCAAAACATGTAAAGTACAACATAGTAAGAAGTAAATTAATATCAATTTAACGTGGATAAGATATAAATGAGTTTTTGATTTTTTCTTGAAAATAACTAGATTACTGATTGCCTAAATTAAAGGGAAGACTATACCATAGCTTTAGATAACCATATACAGGATATACTACTGATGATCAATAAAAATATAGAAATTTTAAAATGTTTAGGAGCTTTTGTATACAATTCGTTCATGTCTTTGTAAAGTTGTGTATCTTTGTATAACTATGTCCATGTATGTATCCTTTGTTTGTTTCGTGTATATTTCTATTATGTTTTATTTGTATATGCACATAACCTTGTAAGGTTTTTTATGCAATAAAGTTTCTTCTTCTACAGGGTTTTAATAAACGGCCGAATAAGTTCATCAGGATTTTCCGAGCATGGTTCCTCCTTGTCAGTGGTGCAGGACTGTAGTCACACAAATCAGTATTAATTTTACGACATTAAAGTTTATCACATATGTATATGAGCCTTTGCCAAAAGTGTACGTTATTTGAGTTATATTATTTATTGTATTATTGATGTGAAGTGGCATTTTAAGTGAATATAAGGCATTATTTTGTTTTAATAAAAGAATAAAGTGTGACGTACGTTTGTTTATTTCATTAACTAAAACATATAGATGTTCGGATGGGACAAAATACCAAGCTCCTGTGTACACATTAGCATGCATGTAAGAGATCTTCCTTGGCCACTGTCCTGGCAAAATTACTCTTACAGCACACTGTATGGCGTATGCTCGTCTTGATTAGCCCAGTTGGAGCAGAACAGTAGGACGTTTAACCCCATTAAACATCATACAGTGTGCTGTTGGTGAAATTTTGCCTCGACAGCGGCACTATGGCCATCTCTTATATTGAATTCCAACTGCTAAGGGTTCTTTTACGTGCATGCCAATGTGTACACAGAACCTCAGTTTTACATCCCATCCAAATGACTATGCATTGTCCCTTGCCAGGCCCTCCGTCCTGAACCACTGACAAGGGGGAACCACGCAAATAGTGAGAAGGTGAATCGCGATACATCGATTCAACGATATATCATGTCAGCACTAGTGTAGGAAGGAGGACCTATGAATCAACAATGACTAGTCATTTGGATGGACCAAAAAAAAAACCGGGATGCCAAGTGTAAACACAGGTCCTATTTCGTGTCGTTTTTTTATAGTTCAAAATTTCATTTTACTTGTCTTTACTACATTAGGATCTGGAAGAGTTGTTATATAACCCAGGATGATGTTTTCAGCAAGTTTTTGGCATGAAGTGCACGGAACTGTGGGTATCCCTCTAGAAACATCAACGCTGATTGATTAATCAATGTCTGATGTCATAACGTCAAGGGCAGCTCGTATGACACCTGATGCCACCTTCCACTACAACCAGTCAGATCTTCATGTAGTGTAGGCCATCAAAAGTATAAAAAAAATGCAACGAAATATAGATCTCCATTTGAATCAGCAGAACGGAGGGCCTGATAAGGACAGCTGTCTAGTCCTTCGGATGAGACGAAAAAACCGAGGTCCCGTGTATACATTGGAATGCACGTAAAAGATCCCTTGGCAGTTGGAATTCGATATAAGAGTAGGCAATAGTGCCGCTGCCAGGGCAAAATTTCCCTCATAGCACACTGTATGGCGTATGCCCGTCTTCATTAGCCCAGTATAGGAACAGAACAGTAGGACGTTAAACCCCATTTCATTTCATTTCATTTCCATTTGAATCAGATTGATGGAAACGATAAAGATATAAATTATATTTAATAATGTTATGTGGATATATTTAAATTGACTAAAACACTAACAATAAATACAAACAGCACTAACTTTCTTTACATATGTCATAAACTTTCAGAAAATGTCTGAGCCCAAAGGAATAGGTAATGTTTATGTATTATATGATGTACATGTGTAGCACACATGAACGCCATTCTCCTCATAAATTTCTAAACGGCTCCTTTGAGTTCAAGCATTAACTGGAATGTGTTGAAATACTGAATGTTTAAAGTTTGACAAATTAGGATATTAAAAACCAAAATAGGAAAAAAAAACCTACTCACACTTGGAAACTTAAAACAGCGTAATTAGTTTTCCATCTTTTCCTCTAGTAGCGAAACGATACTTGTGTTTTTCCCCCTGCGCGGTGTACAGTTCATTCACAGTGTAAAAGTTGTTGAGTCTGGTGTGTACATGTGTTGTTCTGTATTTCTGTATGAAGACAGACCTCGCTGTTGGCCAGTAACAATCATACAGATTATAACAGACTATATACCATGTCATTCATAACATAACTATCATACAACACTTACCAGTCTTTCTTAAAGTAGCCAGTCTCCACGTTGATATTAGGGCTGTATATCGCGGCCAAAAATCATATGGCATAATATTTTACGATACTTGACAAAAATCATTACAATATCACAAAGCACAGTTTTATTTTCAACAGTTTTTTTTGTTTTTTTTTTTTTACAAATTTGGTCTTGGACACTTATTGTTTACTGCAAAATCTAGTTAGAGACTTAGCTACTTTAAAATAGCAATGGTGCTATTAATTTATATAAAAAAAACATGTCCAGTCTTTGTTAAAGTAGCCATGTTGCTATTAATTTATAATAAAATTTACCACGTCCAGTCTTTGTTAAAATAGAAATATTGTTATTAATTTATAAAAAAACAACCATACTCTTTCAAGAACACCTGATGCCATTTTTTTAATAGATTTCATACAGCTAATACATTTTTGTTATTCTTTTGTATACTGGGAACATTATCCTTGTACCTGCACTGTTAAAAAGTATAGTCTTTACGGCTCTGTGAAGGGGGGAACTAAGAATGAGGAAGTTCTGATACATTTAACTAAATAATCTGTACAAGTAACAATAACATTATCTTGTAAAGTAAGAATTCCTACTGCTAAATAAAGACCACTGCTAACAAGCAAATTAGTAGCACATACAAGCACTGTGGGATACAAAGGGACATGTAATATATGCTATAAATGTGCTTGTAGCTTTCTAAAAATGTGCCTGAAACTGAACTATACAAGGTCCTTTAACTTATTATAAATGGGCTTGTTGCTGTGACTTAACTATGAATCCATGGTGGCTCGGTGAGTAAGACATTGGCTCGCTATCCACGGTGGCTCGGTGAGTAAGACATTGGCTCGCTATCCACGGTGGCTCGGTGAGTAAGACACTGGCTCGCTAACCAGGAGGACCTGTGTTAGATCTCTGTGTTGGCCAAGAAAGTTTGTCGGGTTTTTCTGGCATGGTTCCCCCTTGTCAGTGGTGCAGGACAGAGGTCCTGACAAGAGACAATGTATAGTCATTCGGATGGGACAAAAAACCATCGTCACTTGAACTCAGGGGCGCGCACGTAAAAGATCCCTTGGCAGTTGGAATTCGAACCATAATAGGCTGTAGCGCCACTGTCTGAGCCAAATTTCCCTCATGGCACACAGTATGACGTATGCCCGTCTTCATTATCCCAGTCGGAGCAGAACAGTAGGACATTAAACCCATTTCATTTCATTTCATAAGTGCAGGAGGACCGCACTACACGTAAAACAAAAATCTACAAGATAAACCTGCGGACAAGACAGAAAATAGACATTGCAAAAATAAACAAATATCAAATCAAGTGAATGTAACCTAACTATAAAGTGTCACGTAACTTTTATAATGGCACGTAGAACATATTATATAAAGTGTCCTGTAGTCTATTATACAACATATTTTTTTATAAAATGTCCTTTATAATGACGCTTAACATATTTTATAAAGGGTCCTGTAACTTATTTTACAATGACATGTGTAATATATTTTATACTGGCGTATGTAACATATTTGATAATGGTGCATGTAACATTTTATACTGGCGTGTGTAACATATTTTATTAAATATCCTATACATATTTTATAATGGCAAGTGTAAGATATTTTATAATGGTGCATGTAGCATATTTTATAAACTGTCCTGTAGCTTATTTTATAAACTGTCCTGTCCTGTAGCATATTTTATAATCCTGTGGCTTTTTTTATAAACTGTTCTGTAGCATATTTTATAATGGTGTGTGTAACATATTTTGTTAAGGGACCTTTAACATATTTTATAAAGGGCCCTGTAGCATATTTTGTTAAGGGACCTTTAACATATTTTATAAAGGGTTGCCAAATTAACAAAATACACATAGATTGAAATACAAACATTTTGCAATCGCTGAAACTGAAATGGAATTATTTTGGTGGAGATGAGTAAATGAAAGAAGTTTTAACAGTGAACTTTATTATCACTAAAACTAAAAAAATATCCTGGTAATCTCCGAACATGAAACTGCATGAGGTTTATTGAAACGCTCTCCCAAGAGTATTTCTAGTTGTTACATGTAAAAATAGGACTCTTTTAATTACGGCAAACAGTAACAAATGTTATTTTAAAGTAGAAGAAATTAAGACCATATGTCCCAGATCTTCGAGCGACTTATCTTATCTTGTGAGATAGGAGAGGTGAATCGTAAAACCTTAAACACATTTCTCATTGTTCCTATCTCAGTGATTCAAGGGAGGGTATCTTTATTTTGACTTGCCATGGAATTGTTAACCCAATTCTTTTACTTGCATCATTAGTTACCCCTTGATTACATTCATTTAAAAGTGCCCTTTTGTTTATCATTGGGGGGGTCGGTGGAGGAGTGAGTGGTCTATAATAGTTAGTTGCATCACCAAGTCTGTCATTGAGTCAAGTGGTGTGGTTCAATTCACCGCTTGTACGTGACAAGGAATAGGGTCGACTGTCCAACCTTGTGGGTTTTCTCTAGGTCTTCCGGTTTCCTCCCACTGCTATGGATCCCTACACACAAGCAAATTATTGAAATAAAATCGAATCATATGTTAGTCCTGAAATGACCTAGTCTGTGTCAAGTGGATGTTAAACCCCATTTTTCTCTTTCTCTCTCTCTAAATTAAATGTTAATTTAGAGTGGATTAAGCAGGAATAATTGTGTCGAGTGGACATAAGTCCCCTCTCTCTCTCTCTCTCTCTCTTTCTCTCTCTCTATCTCCCTTTGGGAACACCTATTAATTTGGCCTTCAATTTGTTCATGAACAAAAATAATTTAAAAACAAAAAAGTATTTACTTGCTCTTCTCAATAGCTTTTAGTTCTAAGTATTATAACTTTTGAAATTTTAACAGAATACCTACACATGAATTGAGTGGGTTGTTTGATTGGAAACTGTGAAGAACTAAAAATTATATTGGTATAGCCTTAGACATTGTTGTGATCAATTTAAATCAGAGCACATGATTATGGTGGTGGTAGTGCTGACTGGTATTGTCATATCAGCTGTTCTGGATTGAGTAAGCTTACTCTACCCAGTGCACTACACTTATGATATGCAAAACCTTTAGGAGCAGTGATACCAATAAATATCAAATATCAAGAGTGTAAAACTTACCTTG